AATGATGTGTAGCAGTCAGGGTAAAGATGCTAGGGGAGAACCATCTTCCGGGACTGCTCGGGGTTGGAAAGGGCACTGTGAGTAAAGGCACTCCTGATAACCCCACGTCTGCTTGTTCGGGGGTGTCTGTGTGATGCCCGAGGGCTGGCTGGGTGGTGTTGCTGGCAGCTGTATCTGAGACCCAACGTCCCTTCAGCTGGGGGTCTCAACTTGAGGCTGGGCCTTGACACTGTTTGGCAAAGATTGAGCGTATTATGTCTATGCGCTTGTTTCTGGGGACATATTCTATAGCCTTTATCAGAATCTCAAAGGTGGCCTTGGCCCCCAAATGGTTAAGGACTCCGGATCTGACTGTTGAACGTCAATCCCTTGCCCCAGCACTCAAGTGTCTCCCCTGCGCCACGAGCACACCCTTCCAGGGGACCAATGCTAGTTACCAAGTCTTTGAAAGCCGAACTGTCCAAAGCCTTGGCCCTTGACGGAGCCTTGGTAGATGAAGGTACCTCCGGGGGACTCTGAGGAGACCTGTGAGGGTGAGGGCAGAGGCAGTGAGATGGGGGCATTGGACACAAAGCCCGTGTGCTGCTCAGCTGAGGGCATGCTTTAGGATGTTTGGCTACTGCACGCCTCCCAGCTCCTACTCCATCCCCAAGGTGGGGTCCTCCGTCCACTGTGCTCTAGGCGGACTGCGCCATCTGTGCCCCAAACCACGCACGGGTGGCCACAGAAGTAGGCCTGATGGTTGGCTGTTGTCCTAAGCTGCTCCAGCGGCTTGGCCCTCCAGAGCTCTATTTGCTTCTAGCCCATGGCCTGTACTCCTAGCCCCATCCATCTCCTAGCTTTGACCCCTGTTCTCTATGGCGACCCTCCCAGCATGGTAGGGTCTGTTGTTCTTGCACGGCTTTTGGACTACTGCTATTGAAGCAGCTGGGTCTTCGCTACCCAATGGGGTATCCAAGGGGGGTCCACAGGATACTCTCAAGAAGACCAAGGAACTAACCGGATGTGCCAGCCCTTGGGGGAAGCCACTTGCTTCTCCTTACATGTTTAAGTAAGCTCTATGCCCAGCGTGGGGCTTGAACTCATGACCCTGAGATCAAGAGTCTCATGCTGTACTGACTGAGCCAGCCAGGTGCCCCTCTCCTTATGTATTTGAAAAGCAAAGTCACAAATCCACAGTCGTCCACCTGCTGTCTTGTCCCTGAGGATGCACCCTGACTCCTCAGCTCTCTGCTACTCTGGCCTCTGTGACCTCTCCCTCCTTCCCGGCCTTCCATTTCTAGCATCAAAGATCCAAGACAGGGAAGCCAAAGGTGTGATACGTGACATGATGCTCAACTCCCCTCCTGTGAAATTGGAAGAGGAGCATCACTGTGGACCTGCCTTCTGCCTTCAGAATGCCCTAGAATGCGCTAAGTCTTCCCCCACAAGAGAAGGCAAGGAAGCTGTGTCTCCTCCTCTATGTCTTGGTCTTCTAGCTGTGCTAAATCATCTGTAATCCGCATCCTCAAATGTGAGTGCATATTTGAGGTAGTCACCCGGGACCCACCACCTTTTCCCATGTCCCGGCACCATGTCATTACCTCCAGCTTGCTTGAATTCACTCTTACACCGCTGACCTCTAGTTCCTTGCTTTCTGCTCTAACATCAGAACCTACTCCCTATCACTCAGATGTGCTGGCCCTCTGGACACTCAGCCTCCTGGTCCCTTTATCTTTTCCTTTACCCACTTCACGAGCAGGCGAGGGCTCCCTTGCTCCCTGTCCTTGTCCCAAAGAACCCCCCCCCCCCAAGTTTCCATGTTGATCCTACGAGTTTCCACTCTCTTCTCCCCCATTCCCTGCCAGTGATCTGGGAATCAGGGGTGGGGATAGGGCACAGGCACAGGGAGGTCAAGGGCAGATTTTGCTGAACTTACATGCCCATCTAAAGCCCAGTGGTCATCTTTGAACTTATTCACAAAGATCTCCGCAGGTCCTGTGATCTGGTAAACCTGGAGCAGGAGATGGAAATCTTCTTTCTTGTAAATTCCTGGGAAAAGAAAGTTCAGAGAGTAGACTAAAGATCTGGAAAAATCCCCAAACCCATATTTGTGGGGATGTGGGTGTGACTGTCCTGGTGAAATTTCACATGTAGATGTTGATATAAACATTCCATGCATAACCATAAGTAGGTAAGTATAGTGTTGCCCATGAGTTTGTGTGGGCTGAATGAGAGGATGTGCATGAATGTGCAAATGTGTGTTACTGACCACTAAATCACTGGCCTGTGATTGTGACCCTTTTAAAACATGCACATGGCGGAATAAAGTGAATAGGACTTTGGATACATTAATGTGTCAGTTAACACACGAGTATGTTTTACAATTCGGTGGGTGTGGGAATGCAGGAGGCACGTACACGGGGTTATGTGCACATCTTTATGACTATGTCTTACAGCAGATGAGTGAAACTGACTGCTCAGCTGTGCTGGTGTGTGCATGCCTGAATGGGCGGATATGAGTGCACGTGGGTTGTGTATTAACATGTGCCTTCATTTGCTCACGCATGCCTTTATCTTTGCATTTGTTTTCTGAGAGATTTAGTTTTCTGATTATAGGAAGATTGAAAATTGGGGAAATTTTGGAAAATGCAGAGATGCAGGAAGAAAATCACAATCATTCCTGATATCACTAAGAAATTGCCCCTGTTCACGTTTTGGTGTAATTACTTCCAGCTTTCTTTCTTATGAATATAATTTTTCCTTTAAAAACTGGAGTCACATTTAACGTGCACTACGATAGGTCCATTTTCCCCCCAAACTGGCAAGCTATTTTATCTATCAGATCTCTTATAATTAATACATCCATTTCATTAATTTTGGACAATTTTCTCCTTCCAGTTTTGATATGATACAAATGGCCCTGTTATGTGAACATCCTTTATTCATAAATGTTTGACTCCCTCCATAGCTACTTTTTAAGAAAAAAATTCCTAGAAATATAATTAATGGGTTCACTCATTTTCAAAGATCTTGACACAAGTTTCCAAACTGTTTTCTAGAATTGCACTGTTTCATACTTTGGCCCTCACCACATCAGTGTCTTCACTTGACCTTGACCAGCACTAAAGTTTGTCACTTAAAAAAAAAATCTTAGTGGGATAAGTAGAAAATGGCATTTTGTGTTTACTTTCAGTTTTTTGATTACTGCTGAAACGTGTACTTTCTTTTGTTTATTGTCTGTCTGTATTTTGGCTTCTGGGAGTTCTCTGTCCCTATTTTTGGTTCAGTTTTAGAGATATTGGTCTCTTTCCTCTTTAGTTAGGAGTGCTTTTATGTTCAAGTTATTGTTTGTTATCTAACCACTTCATTTTAGTCCCAGTGGTTTTATCATGCAGGCAAAAATGAATAGACACATTATTTGCCCGCTCCCCACCAGACAAGGACAGGAGGACGCAATGAGAGTAGACACATTCTTGCAGAGGGCGTGGGCCACCCACGCCTGCCACACCCAGGCTTTCAAGGGGGTGGCCTGCTCCTTACCAGCCAAGTGCACTTCCACTCCACTGTGGTCGATCATGGTGGCGTTGACCTTGCTGTTGACAACCTGGAAGCCAGTCACTCTGAGCATGGCTGGCTGCTTCTTCCCCTGGTACTCATAGGCCCCTTTCCATAGGGAATTCTTGGCAAAAACATCACCAGGAACTAGAGGAATTGGGGAGCAGATATGAGAGGGACTTACATATGTGTTGATAGGATTGCGGCCACCTGATGGCTGATCCCAGTTCACTCACTGAGATTGTTTTCCCCCAACACCTAACACAGGGGAGGATGGTGGAGTGCTCGAGTCCTCTTGTGATCCAGAATGGAATTAGAGCTGAATATGATGCCAAATCTAGTTTCCTTCTTGTATAACACACTAATGTGGTACATAAAAGAATAAAGTTTGAAAAAGGATATGATAGTCTATAATAGTCTTGCACTGGTTGGGCCACACCTGTAGTTATGTGCCCAGTTATGGACATCACACTTTGAAAGATACAATACCTGTATTAAAAATGTAACCATTTCCAGGAAGCTCCCTAGGCAGGACTTGGGTCTTTGTGTCTGTATGACCACATACCGGGTTGGGGGGTGGGGGCTGGGCTTGTGGTAATCAATGGCTCCAGAGCTCCAAGCTCTGGATGTGTTTCTGGAAAGCTTGGGCTCTCTCTTCTGGATGAGGTTTTTGTTTCCTTTCCTTCCTTCACTTCCTCCTGAAGTCTGTCTGGGGTGGGGAAACCTGTTTGGCTCTGTAGACAGTTTTCACATCCTTTCACTGAGTACTTAGAAAGTCATGTGTAACTAGGTGACGGAAGCAACACCAGTTTCTTGAGCCAGAGATCTGAACCATACCTACCGGAGGCCTGGGTGAGTGGTGGTTCCCGGGCAGTGTTGATGGGTCTCCCACTAGGCCGCACCTCTGCTGGGGAAAGAGAAAGGAGAGAAATAGGTTCAGCCTCTGCTCTACACTCTACTGGAGAAATAATGGCCACCTCTCTGACATTAGGTCAATGGTTTCTTTGAGATCTTGTTTTGGACTTGTCCTCTTTAGACTGGGAGTGGGTACTTTGATGGTCTGGTGATGCTATGGGCCCCTGTCAGAATAATCAAAGGTAAAGAGCTAAAGGGAAATCCATTCCATCGATTATAGTCATTGAAATACTAAACAAAGAACTAGGATGCAGGGAGATATGTGATTCTTTACTACTGCATTAAGTAACAGGATCTGGCAGCAGGTCCAGTCACTACCCTAATGTTTCATTAGGAACATTAGTCAGGAACATACGCAATATTTCATGATATCAGCGAGAATGGTAATATAATATGAAAATCTCTGCAATTTTTACTGGTTACAAAGTTATAGGTGTTGTAAACACTGTTTTGGGTTTTTGTCTACATTCCAAATGAAAGGAAATGCTAAATTTCAGTAAAGGGTAAAGGAAAATAAAGTTATTTTTCCACCCTGGTACAGAGATCTGCTGAACGTCCCTACGGATGACTCTAGTTTGAACAGCCCTGTCCCGGACTGTTTCTACTTTCCTCCCAGATGCCTGGCACCAAGGAGGACCTTCCACCAATCAAAAGCGAACTCCTTGAGCATTGGTGGGGGTTTCAGTGGAGTGCTTCCCTCCTTTGGAGTGAGGATATGAAGACTAAGAAGCCCCCAACAGCTGCTCCGTCTGGCACTATGAACTGCAATTCTCAGCCCTACTTTCCCGGCATCCACACCACATCCCCCCCAACCTATGAGATGCTCAAGGAGAAGCACGAGGTGGCTGTACTTGGGGTGACCCAGGGCTTGGATCCCATGGCAACCACCACGATCGGCATTCACAGCAAAACCTCTGTGCGTGATCAAATCATCTGGTCCCTGTTCAACATAGTCTTTGTGAATTTGTGCTGCCTGGGCTACTCTGTGAGGCCCAGGGACTGGAAGAGGGTGGGTGACGTGACAGAGGCTCAGGCCTATGACTCTGCCACCGAGTGCCTGCACATCCAGCACCTGGTCTTGGGCCTCCTTCTGATTGTTATATTCACCATTATTTTTGTCACTGGCTCACTGATGATTCTCTAAGCAATTTCAGAGATCATAAAAGGTTATGGAGCTTCCTAGTAGCTGCCCATGGCCTGAGGCTGTCACCCCTTTCACAGCAGTTTATATACACATCAGTCTACAACTGAATCCAATGAAGCACTCATGTGTGTGGGAAATAAAAGACTGAGAAGCCCTCACAGGCAAAAGCATGTGCAAAAGCACAAGTTTTGGGCCTGAGCCATACAGTCTAGGTTCAGGTCCCAGTAGTGCTACTTAATGCTGTGTGACCTTGACTAGTTACTTTACCACTCAGAGTCTCTGTCTCCTCATTGGAAACATGGGCAAATACTGAAACATACCTTATAGGTCTGTGATAAATAAATGAGGTGACAGTCAGCCAATGTTAATGTCTTTCCTTATTTGACACAGAAACAACAGAAATATCTGTCTTGTCACCAAGGAAGGGCTGACTCTCCCTACTGTCTCTTTTAGGAGGCCAGGGTTTTAGCATAATCCTTCTGACTCTGGAGGTTAGCTTATGTTTGTGTTTGCAAAAGGCTGTGGAGAAACGTTCCACAATGACTCAGTAAAAGCAAATTTATGAACAAAATGCCTTTAATTGTCTTAGGTTTTATAAGATGAGGGAGTGAGAGGGAGAAAGCATTTTATGGGCCAGGATCTATGCTAGGCCATGTATTTCATGTTATTTCACTTACCCCTGCTCTCAAAACTGTGAGGTAGAGGGGTACCTGCGTGGCTCAGTTGGCTAAGTGTCCAACTCTTGATTTTGGTTCAGATCATGATCTCACAGTTTGTGAGATCGAGCTCTATGTCAGGCTCTGTGCTGACAGTGCAGAACCTGCTTGGGATTCTCTCTCTTCCTCTCTATCTGCCCCTCCCCTGCTCATGCTTTCTCTCAAAATAAGTAAATAACATGAAACATTTTAATGAAAAAAACCTGTGAGGTAGAGATTATTGTCTCCATTTTATAGAAGAGAAACCCACTAAGGGGCAGAGAGGTGAAGAGGCTTGCCCAAGGTCACACAGGAAGGGACAGGTAAAATTCAACTGCATCTAAAGCATTTTGTGTTTTTATATATAAGTACACAGTAACATCACAAACAACGAAGTACTTAAGAATAAATGTAACCAAGGAAGTGCAAGACTTATATGCTGAAAATGACAAACCATCATTAGAAGGAATTAAAGATTTATCAACGTTTATTTATTTTGGGGACAGAGAGAGACAGAGCATGAACGGGGGAGGGGCAGAGAGAGAGGGAGACACAGAATTGGAAACAGGCTCCAGGCTCTGAGCCATCAGCCCAGAGCCCGATGCGGGGCTCGAACTCACGGACCGCGAGATCGTGACCTGGCTGAAGTCGGACGCTTAACCGACTGCGCCACCCAGGCGCCCCTGAAGGAATTAAAGATTTAAATGAATGGGAAGACATTCCATGTTCATGGACTGGAAGACTTAATATAGCTCAGACGGCAACACTCCCCCAACTGACCTACAGATTTACCACAATCCCTGTCAAAATCCCAGCTGTCTGCTTTGCAGAATTTCAAAATCCAATCCTAAAATTCATCTAGAAATAAAAGGGGCCCAGAAGAGCCAAAACAATCCTGAAAGAGAAGCACAAAAAGGAAGATGTACACTTCCCAACTTCAAAATTTATTACAAAGCTATTGTATCAGACCTGTGGTAATGTCATAGAGGCATCAATGACATCGGCTCAATGGATAAAATGGAGGATCCAGATATAAGCTCACATATTTATGGTCAAGTGATCTTTGATAAGGGTGCCAAGACAGTTCAATGAAGAATAGTGAAGAATAGTTTTTCCAATAAATGGTGCTGGGATAACTGGATGGCCACATGCAAAAGAATGAATTTGGATCCCAAACAACCACCCGCACCAAAAAAACCCCACAAAAGAAACCTAAATGTAAGAGCTAAACTATAAAGCTCTTAGAAGAAAACACAGGCATAAGTTTTCATGACCTTGGATTAGGCAGTGGTTTCTTAGATATGATATGAAAGCACAAACAAGCAAAGAAAATATAGATAAATTGGAGTTCACTAACATTAAAAACTTTTGTGTTCAAAAGGACATCAAAAGAAGGTAAAAAGAAGGACCTTCTTTTGAAGGACCTTCAAAAGAAGGTAAAAAAAGTCCAAACTAATTGCATTGTATTCATTACATATGTGCAGTTTAATGTACCAATTATATCTCAATAAGGCTGTAAAAAATACCTCCCACATTTGAAAAAACAATGTAACACAGGACTAAAGTGGAGCTTAAAATTGACAGTCTAATTTCATTTTAGGTGAGGAGTGAAATAAAGGATAGAGTACTGTAAACTTAACAAAAAATAAAGAAAGCGAAAGACCACCCGTAAAATTGGAGAAAATATGTGCAAATCTTGTATCTGATAAGGGTCTTATATTCTGGATATATAAAGAACTCTTGAAGAGACTCCAGAGCAAGATGGTGACATAGAAGGCTCCTGAATTCCCTCCCCCCACCCCCCACGCCATGGACACACTGAATGTACAGCTACACAAGGTTCAACAGTAAGAGTTCAAGTAAAAGAAAAGATCTAAACATAAAAGCATATAAATGTATAAAGCTCACTGATAAAGATAGATGGTTACATTCAGAATACTCTAATACTGTAATTGTGGTGGGTAAATCAGTCATAACGCTAGTGTAAAGGTTAAAAGACAAAAGTGTTAAAAGTAACTATAACTACAATAATCTGTTAATGAATACACAATATAAAAAGATGTCAATTGTGATCTCAAAAACAAAATGTAGGGAGTGTAAAAACGTAGAGCTTTCGTATGCACTCAAAGTTAAGTTGTTATTTGCTCTACAAGACTGCTGTAATTATAAGATGTTTTATGTAAGCCTCACAGTAAACACAAAACAAAAACCTATAGTTGATACACAAAAAGAGGAAGGAATCAAAACGTACCACTACAGAAACTCATCAAATTCCAAAGGAAGAGAGTGAGAAAAGAAGAAAGCGACTACAAAGCAGCCAGAAAACAATTAAGAAAATGGCAACAGGAAGTTCATACTTCTAAAAAATTACTTATTTTTTATAATTAAAATTTTTTTATTATTTATTTTTGAGAGAGAGAGACAGAGTGTGAGTGGGGGCAGGGGCAGAGAGAGAGGGAGACACAGAATCAGAAGCAGGCTCCAGACTCTGAGCTGTCAGCACAGAGCTGGATGTGGGGCTTGAACTCATGAACTACGAGATCATGACCTGAGCTGAAGTTGGATGCTTAACCAACTAAGTCACCCAGGCGCCCCTGTAATTTTTTTAAATGTTTATTTATTTTTGAGAGAGACAGAGAGTGTGTGAGCACGGGAGGGGTAAAAAGAAAGGGAGACAGAATCAGAAGCAGGCTCTGAGCTATCAGCACAGAGTCCCATGTGGGGCTCGAACTCATGAACCGTGAGATCATGACCCGAGCCAAAGTTGAACCCTTAACCGACTGAGACACCCAGGGGTCCCTCAAAAATTACTTTAAATGTAAATGGACTAAATTCTCCAATCCAAACACAGAAAGCGGTTGAGTGGACAAAACAAAAACCAAACAAAAACTCCAGACCCAACTATATGCTGCCTACAAGAGACTGACTTTTAAGGACATGTAGCTGAAAATGAAGTGAAGGAAAAAGATGTTCCATGCAAATGGAAACCAACAGCGGAGCAAGCTATATTTATATAGATAGAATAGACTTCAAGCCAAAAACCGTAACAAGAGAGAAAGAAGTTCATTAGATAATGATAAAGGGTTAAATTCATCACGAGGATATAACAGTTATAAATATTTATGCACCCAACATCAAGACACCTAAATATATAAAGCAAATATTAACAAATCTGTGGGGAGAAGCAGACAGCAATACAATAACAGTAGAGGAGTTCAATACCTCACTTTTGACAACAGATAGATCATCCAGACAGTAAATCAGTAAGAAAACACTGGACCTAAACTAAACATGAGATCAGATGGACTTAACGGACATTTATAGAACATTCCACCCAACGGCAGCCGAATATACATTCTCCTCAAGTGCACAGGGAACATTCTCCAGGACAGAGCATATGTTGGCCTACAAAACAATTCTTAATAAATCTAAGAAGATAGAGATCATATCAAGCATCTCTTCTGGCCACAATGATATAAAACTAGAAATCAATTATAAGAAAAAAAGTGGAAAATTCACAAATATGTGGAGATTATATACCATGTTCCTGAGCAACCAATGGACTGAAGAAGAAATCAAAAGGGAAATCAAAAACTATCTTGAGACAAATGATAATGGGGACAGAATTTCTGTTGGGGAAGATGAAAGTGTCCTGGAGAAGGTGGTGATGGTTGCACACAGTATGGTCAATGCACTTAATGCCACTGAGCTATGCACTTAAAAATGGTTCATTTGGTAAATTTTATATTATGATTATATTATCACAATAAGAACTTAAATGTACTCTAGAAGAGTTCACTACCACATATGGAGAACAAATACTACTTTTCATAAGTAAAATAAATGTACAACACTTCATGCAGTGAAAATACAAGAATAGTATTACATTCTGGCCCTGATAAAGGCTCTGACTCTGACACTTTCTCTCCCCGAGGGGCAGAACTGCAAAGTACTTAGGAACAGGGATTCTGAAGTTAGATCTTCAGGATCTGAATCTCAGCACTTTTCCTTTACCAGCTGGTGACCCTGGGCATGTTGCTTAACTTCTCCGTGTCTCAGTTTCCTCATATGTTAAATCTGAATAGCCCCTGCCTCTTAGGATGATTGTTAAGGATTAAATGAGTTAGCGCACACAAAGTGCTTAGACTTTACTTAATACCTGAAATATGGTGCGATCAGCATCTGTAAGAGAGTTTAATGCTGTTCCAGCACCAAACTGATCCTTTATCCTTGCTTGACCCTTCTGTTAAGCCTGGACTCAGATCACCTTCTCTAGGAAGCCTTCCCTGGTTTCTCTCCTCCCCTACTTAGGCTGAATTGGTCCTCTTCCTCCTCATCCCCACGGCATTCAGTGCATTGCCATGTTCCTGAAGGTTCGGTTACATTTGATAATGTGTCTTCTGCAGCTGAACGTGAGCTATTTTAGGGCAGGGTCTGTGTCTTTCACCTTCCAATTCCCTATCCCTAGCACAGGCATGTGTGGTGATAATGCTCAATAAACAGAATGAATGAATGAAGACGAGGGGAAGGGAGGTCTGGGGCATTTTGGTAATGCCGAGGGATCTGTGGGTGGGTGCT